GTGTGTTTTGTGATGGCGGTAATAGTGATGGTGGTGGGATGGTAATGGCAATCAATGGACAGTATAAGGAAAGATGTACAACTGGGAATAAACATGATCACTTATATTGCATCCTAAGGGTTTTAGAGCTTAAAGCAAGGCTTAAAATTCTTAGCTTTTGGGCAAAGTCTGGCCTACTCACATATTAATAACCACAAAGAAAGCAAAATAGTTATATCAGAACCTCTAATGCATTTAGAAAACTTTTACATGAAATTCATACTGCATTTCATCAATTCTTAAACGTTCTTGTTTTCACATTAACACCTCAAGAAATTTTACTGCATGTTGCATCAGATGGCTTCTTCACCCAAGCAGCACTTGTGACTCAGTTGTTTTTGCAGGTGTGCCTGAATGTGGTCATAGCTCTTCAACACTTCTACTAAGTCATGATTATTACTGCCTCTATACTTATTATGTATAATTGCCATTCAAATTATCTTTAAAAAGATTATGCTGTGATTTGACATAGCAAAAATATCCATTGTAGAAATAGGCATGAAAACAGAACAGTGTGTTTTAAATTGTATTGATGAAACAGATATGGATTATTCGAGGAATGATCACAATTCTATGTTTTCTTGCAAAGCAACTAAATAATTTACAATTTTCAAAAGAAGTGGGTAATGGCTGGGGTTTTGCTGGTGGAGTGCTTGTCTAGCATGTGTGAGGCACTGGATTTGATTCTCAGCATCACATATAAATAAATAAAATAAAGGTCCATTGACAACTAAAAAATATTTTTTAAAAAAGAAGTGGATAGCTTTGAGTAGTGTTAAACTCAGTTTAAGTTGGACCTCAATTTGTCTCCATGCTTGAGCGATAAAGTTTGACCTAAAGTGGCCTCTGTAAATAGTGAACTATACCCTAGCTTGACCTGTAGACAAATTGTAACCTAAGAGTGTACCCTTGTAACCGAGCAATCAAGTGTTAGCCAACCACAGGTGGCAAAATTATAAAACTATGTCCAAATAAAGCAAATGTCTCATCACCCTATAAGTCAAATGCCAATTGCAGCTAATCAGGTTGTTTTGGTATGTCACTTTGATTTTTCTTACAAAAAATGTAATGTGCACATGTGGTGGTATGGGGAATTCTGAACCAACTGGTCCAGAATGCCTCCTGGTTGTAGAATCTTTTCTTGCTTAAATGAACTTTGTTAAATTTAACTAATCTCAGATTTTTGCTTTAATAATAGATAAAGCAAGATAGTTGCTAATTTCAGTTTAAGAGTGAAGAAATAACCAAATCTTTCAGAAAATAAAAAGTGAATTTATAAGGATGAGATAGCAGTTTCTAAGTTTCAAGTACTCTTGTTAAGGCATCAAACATTAATATGTCAAAACTTCTTTCTGTCTTTGAATGGAAACTACTGAATTCTGAGGTTGTATGTTTTATCAGTTACTGAAAAAAAAATGAAACTATGTGATAAAATGATGATAAATCCTGATGTTCTTTGGCAACCATTAGAATTATATTGCTATTGTCAGGTGTGGTAGCACACACCTATAATTCCAGCAACTCAGGAGGCTGAAACAGGAGGAGTGCAAGTTTGATCTTGCAATCAAACTTGCCATCCTCAGCAACTTAACAAGGCCCTCAACAACTTACTGAGATCCTGTCTCAAAATAAGAAAGAGAAAGTTTGGGGATGTTACTTAGTGGTAAAGCACCCCTGGCTTAAATTCCCAGTTTCCCCCCTGAAAATTATACTCCTAAGGCAACTGAAAGTGCAAGTGCATGGATTTATATAAATAAATGGCAAGTCTCTATGACAGTATGTATAGGCATGCCACAATATTTATTATAAAATTGTAAAATATTTAATTAAAAAATTCCATTATGATGATATTATGCATACCAACAGAACCATTGCTCCTAAGGAAATAGTTTAGATTCTGGGAGCCTCTGTCCACATTTCATTAGCTGATCAATACATAACCTTATTTTATGGGCATTTCCCTTTAAAGTTATAATATATATTGTTGATTCATTAACACCAAACTATGGCTGGCAATACCATAACTCAAAGCCTATAATAAGCTTATCTAAACAAACTTATTTTCTCTGCAAGGAACATCATAGTTTTCTTATACTTTGAAACAATAGGCAGTACTTCATCGTTATGCTTGGGAACTACAAGCAGGGACTTTATAAACATTGAAATCACTTACAAAAAGCAGAAAAATGAGGAAAATGTAACACTAAATAGATCAAAAAATGGGCACTAGTTTCCGGTATGAAAACTGCAACAAGAAGGCAGAGTATGGCCTTGCTTAACCTCAATTTTCATTTGCCACTCTGTGCATGTGTGGATGACTGCAGAAGTACTTGGAATGTTGATTCCTGAGTTTTAGATACATTTTAGCAAGACAAATTAAAAATGCAGACCCCACTAATCATGAATTTGTCCCCTAGTAGAAAAAATTCCAAAGTTATATGGCAAGGACTAAGAATAAAGAGAGGGTTAAAAAAATTGGCACCAATGATGGCAAATCTTGGGCCCCATCTCAGACTTATTGAATCAGAAACTTGCATTTCAGGCTCCCCAGGTGTTTGCATGTACATTCAAGTTGAAGAAACACTGCCCTTCATGTCATGGTAGGTATTTCAATGCCAGAAGGTGGAAGTTAAAGCATATTAAGATTAGAGGCCTGCTACATTTGTAAAGTTTTAGGTGTCCAAAGTTCTGGGGCATGCTCGGACAACCTCTCTAACCTATCTCTTTATTAATAGGAAAATGGCAGAGTACTTGGTGGGTCTCTTTGGCTTTTAGAGACCGTGTATACCACTTTTGGGAAGATAGCTCCAACACATTCATTGTGTGACTTAGAAGACTGCCAGTTTCAGAAGGTTCCTGAGCAGGACAATCCATACTGAGATGAAAGTTGCCTCGCTATTTGACCCTTTATCTCACTCCTTTGTCTCAATAGTGTGAGAGATGTCTACAGTAGATAAGGATATTATGTGGAATCTTAGGCAAATACTGATAAGAGAGTCATATAGTAGAACCTCAGCATTCTGGAGCAAAGCTTTTCTTACAATACCAAGACATTTGAAAATTTAGCCCCTGATATGTTACTGGGCCCTAGTAGAGACCAAGAGCCTGACCATGCAACTCAAATGATCATGAGCTGGACATTGCCAGGTTTACCAAGTCACAGTGTTAAATGGATACAGCAGCAATCTATCAGATAGAAAAGGAGAAAGAGGAGCCCAGGACTGGAAATGCCAGTGAATGGAAGAACAGTAGTTATAGGAACATGAATGGGAGAGTTGGAAGTTCCTCAAGGAAGGCAAGCTCAGTATAGTAAAATTATCTTTATCCTTTTCCCGTGCTCCTTTCTCCCTGAATTCCCTCTTCTGGGTACAGAGTGATAATATTCACTCAATCCCAGGCAAAATTTCTGGAATCATCACTGAGGACTCCTTCTCAACCAAGGGGTAGAACATGAGCAACTTTAGCTCCATGACTACTGCCTTTATTCTCTCAGCATTAATCTTTTGCAAAATTTCACATTATTGACAAATGCTATTTCTGCATATCTAATTATGCTATTTTTTTTTTTTTGAGAGAGAGAGAGAGAGAGAGAGAGAGAGA